TCATGGACTATGATTTGCTCTACATCTATGGTTGTTGCAGGACCCGATCGTGTTGTTTCACCGACGCGAACTACTAGATTTTCGGGATAGTTTCTGTAAAGGTGGGGTGTCTCATTAGAAATCATGTAGTGAGATTTTCTTATAGCAGTATTATTTTTTTTCAGTATTAAGATAACTGTGAGTTGTGCGTAAGAAACAGAACACATCGCATTCAGTCACACAATACATCAGAGAAAAAACACTAACATCATATCTTACACACAGATTTCGCAGCACGTCACACACACACAGGATCATAAAACAGATACAGAGATGCGCAAACAACATCAAAGACACACACACGAAAAAAGGACACAGATCCGTACCACATCACAGACACACAGACGTACACACATGAAAAAAAACACACATTTCACCACACGCACACACACACAGACACAGACACACTCACCCATCGACACAGTGGGCGGCCGTGAGAATATATCGATCGTTGATAATAGAACCTCCGCAGAAAACAAAATTGTCGTATTTCTGAGCCAAGCCAATCTGCCACGGATACTGAGCAATATCTGTAGGATCTCCGCCGACGATCTTTGTGTTAAACCGCAGACCACATCCTAAGGGAGAAAAAAAGGGTAAGTTTGAGGTTTTTGGAAGAGAAATTAAGAAACAATTCAATTTCTGTCTCATTCTCGTTCTTTCTTTATCTCTTCTTCTCCTTCTTCTTCTCCTTTTCTCTCTCTCTCTCTCTCTCTCTCTCTCTCTCTCTCTCCGTCTCTTCCTCTTTCCCTCTTTCTCTCCTTCCTTCTCTCCCTCTTTCCCTCTCTCCTCCTTTCCTTCTCTCCCTCTCTCCCTCTTTCCCTCTTTCCCTCTCTCCCTCTCTCCCTCTTTCCCTCTTTCCTTCTCTCCCTCTCTCCCTCTCTCTCCCTCTCTCCCTCTTTCCCTCTCTCCCTCTTTCCCTCTCTCCGTCTCTCCCCCTTTCCCTCTTTCCCTCTCTACCTCTTTCTCCCTCTTTCCCTCTATCCCTCTCTCCCTCTCTCTCTTTCCCTCTGTCCCTCTCTACCTCTTTCTCCCTCTTTCACTCTCTCCCTCTTTCCCTCTCTACCTCTTTCTCCCTCTTTCTCCCTCTCTCCCTCTTTCCCTCTCTCCCCCTTTCCCTCTCTCCCCCTTTCCTTCTCTCCCTCTCTCCCTCCTTCCTTCTCTCCCTCTTTCCTCTCTCCCTCTTTCCCTCTTTCCCTCTCTACCTCTTTCTCCCTCTCTCCCTCTTTCCCTCTCTCCCTCTCTCCCTCTCTCCCTCTCTCCCTCTCTCCTCTTTCCCTCTCTCCCTCTCTCCTCTTTCCCTCTCTACCTCTTTCTCCCTCTCTCCCTCTTTCCCTCTCTACCTCTTTCTCCCTCTCTCCCTCTCTCCTCTTTCCCTCTCTACCTCTTTCTCCCTCTCTCCCTCTTTCCCTCTTTCTCTCCTTCCTTCTCTCCCTCTTTCCCTCTTTCTCTCCTTCCTTCTCTCCCTCTCTTCCTCTTTCCCTCTTTCCCTCTCTACCTCTTTCTCCCTCTCTCCCTCTTTCCTCTTTCCCTCTTTCCCTCTTTCCCTCTTTCCCTCTCTACCTCTTTCTCCCTCTCTCCCTCTTTCCCTCTCTACCTCTTTCTCCCTCTCTCCCTCTTTCCCTCTCTCCCCCTTTCCTTCTCTCCCTCTCTCCCTCTCTCCCTCTTTCCCTCTTTCCCTCTTTCTCTCCTTCCTTCTCTCCCTCTCTCCTCTTTCCCTCTCTACCTCTTTCTCCCTCTCTCCCTCTCTCCCTCTCTCCTCTTTCCCTCTCTACCTCTTTCTCCCTCTCTCCCTCTTTCCCTCTTTCTCTCCTTCCTTCTCTCCCTCTCTCCTCTTTCCCTCTCTACCTCTTTCTCCCTCTCTCCCTCTTTCCCTCTTTCCCTCTTTCCCTCTCTACCTCTTTCTCCCTCTCTCCCTCTTTCCTCTCTCCCTCTTTCCCTCTCTACCTCTTTCTCCCTCTCTCCCTCTTTCCCTCTTTCTCTCCTTCCTTCTCTCCCTCTTTCCCTCTTTCCCTCTCTACCTCTTTCTCCCTCTCTCCCTCTCTCCTCTTTCCCTCTCTCCCTCTTTCCTCTCTCCCTCTCTCCTCTTTCCCTCTCTACCTCTTTCTCCCTCTCTCCCTCTTTCCCTCTCTACCTCTTTCTCCCTCTCTCCCTCTCTCCCTCTCTCCTCTTTCCCTCTTTCCCTCTCTACCTCTTTCTCCCTCTCTCCCTCTTTCCCTCTTTCTCTCCTTCCTTCTCTCCCTCTTTCCCTCTTTCCCTCTCTCCCCCTTTCCTTCTCTCCCTCTCTTCCTCTTTCCCTCTCTCCCCCTTTCCTTCTCTCCCTCTCTTCCTCTTTCCCTCTTTCCCTCTCTCCCTCTCTCCTCTTTCCCTCTCTACCTCTTTCTCCCTCTCTCCCTCTCTCCTCTTTCCCTCTCTCCCTCTTTCCTCTCTCCCTCTCTCCCTCTTTCCCTCTCTACCTCTTTCTCCCTCTCTCCCTCTTTCCCTCTTTCTCTCCTTCCTTCTCTCCCTCTCTTCCTCTTTCCCTCTCTACCTCTTTCTCCCTCTCTCCCTCTTTCCCCCTTCCTCCCTCTTCCCTCTCTCCCTCTCTCCCTCTCTCCTCTTTGTATGGTTTGTGGAAGTAGATATGTGCGCGTGGTTTTTTTTAGATGACTGTATTTATTTATTTAGATTTATAGATAGGGTGAGGTTCAGAAACGTGAATATTCGAGTTAAATGAATGAAAGAATACAGAATGTAAATCTGAAACATGCATTTAGATAAACAAATACGCAAAGTGTTTAGGCTGACCCACATGTTATAAACAACAAGGCAGAGAAAGCAAAATAAGCAAGTGTCTCGTATAACCTACTTATACTTCAAAACTTTAACCGGAAGGCAGAAAGCCTCATAAAACTGTTGTGTCATCTAACGGTTAACTGAATTTAAAAACATCTGCCGGGTAGTTGGAGATACAAGATGCAACTGATGTTAAAATAGGAACAGATAACAGGTTGACAGATAAATACGAGTGAGATACAGAGAAAACAGTTTGGTCGGAGTTGTATTAAATCATATACAAAGCAGAAATTATTTGTGCGTATGCTTAGTTGTTTGTCCCTCGTTCTGAGTGGATTACTTCCCACAGAAGGACAGAATGCTGAAGCACTAATCAGGTATGTATCCTAAATGAGAAAAGGTATGCTGTCCTTTGAACAAGCAAACAAGATTGAAAAAGAGAAAACGGAAGAAAGCAAGCATGTATTTGTGGAATTTAGCGAGCCAGTGAAGACTTACTGAAGTCGCCATCGTCGTTGGTGCCGAGCCTGGGCGGCTGGTGGCCCGGGATGCCTCCTCCCCCAGTCTGGATGTCGTTGTCCTGCGGGCTTTGCGTCCCGGACTTCTCGGGGGCCGCCGTGACCTTCGACGAGTGGTGATGGGGGTCGAAGATGGTGATGGGGTCGCGGTCGTACCAGCTGATGAGGCTGGACTCGGGCCCGGGCGGGTTGTGCCTCTGGTTGTACACGCCGTCCTCCTGGTCTGTGGCGATGGGGCGGAGGTCGACGCCGGCGGCCGGGGAGTAGTGGAGGTCGGTCTGTGAGGACGCCGGCCCATCGCGCGTCGGCGGGAAGTCGCTCAAGAGGGACGGGTTGCCCATGTACAGAATGGGCAAGGTGGGCAAGGGCTTGTCGGCCGTGCTTGGCAGGGGCCTGATTTCTAGCGTCCCTTCGCTGCTGCCCGGCTTTTCTTTTTCCAAGGTCGCGGGATAGGCGCTGAGCTGATCTTCCACGTGGGTCTGCTGACTGCTGTCTGTCAGTCCGTCAAACAGGGTAACTTGACTGTCGTCTAGCTGTGCTTTCTGAATGTCGTCTGGTTGCCTCTCTGCTTGGGATGTATGAGTGGTGACGACCTGATCCTCTAACTGCGTTTTCTGAATATCTCCTGACTCTCTAACTATATTTTTTTGAGTAGTAACAGGCAGGTCGTCCGCCTGCGACAGCGCCTCCACCGGAGCTTCTTGCGTGGTGCCAAACTGCTCCTCTTCTCGCACGTCCTGACTCATGTCTGACTCTCCTTCCAAAGTGGGTTGGTGGACAATGCTTTCAACGCGGTCATCAACGTTGGTTTCCTGGTCGTTGGTTGACTGTTCATCTACTCTTGTTATCTGGATAGTTTGTTGGTTGTCCGACTGTCTAGAATCTGTTGTTGTCTGATAGATGTCAGGAATATCTGTCTGTGTTTCCTGAAGCTGAGAATCGGCTCTTTGATCGGACTCGTCTAGCAGGTCCGAGGAATCTCGCTCAATAGTAGTAATGGATAATGGATTTCCTTCAACTCCATCGGTGTCGCTCTCGGACTGATTAGTCTTTTCATCTGTGGTGAAATCTTTGAAGAGGTCTGCCATTGCTAGTGCAAGATCAAGCTGAGCCTGCTGCTCGGCTAGCATCGCCTGCTTCTCCTGTTCTTCCTTGAGTCTGAGTTCTTCCTCCTTCTGAAGCAAGAACTCATCCACAGGGAATGTCGTGTTCACTTCAGAAGATGCCTCTGTCGTTTCTAGGACGTCGGGGATCGTGGAGACTTCACCACCGAGGTCATTTCTGTTTTCTGGATTTTCTGTGGCTTCTTCTTGGCCCTGGGCTGAACTTTGCGTTGGATTTGCTACACTGGCTTCTATCAGAGCGTCATTTTCGGTTTGTTGGCTGGAAATTTCACTCACTGAACCTTCACTCTGAACAGTACCTTGCGCTTCACTGGTGGACTCAATAGCCGCTTCAGTGATAATATCGTTGTCCTGAGAGACACTTGGGACGTCAATGGTTGGAGAAGCACCCTCTCTGACATCAGTGATATGAGTCGCACTGGTAATTGTAGGTGCATCTTGTGTGACTTCGGGGAGTTGGGTAACATCCAGACTGACATCAGAAACTTGTGTCGTACTAGTAACTGAAAACTCATCTTTGGTACTCGCTGCCTGCTTCTCGTCGACAGCAGAGACCGCGAAAAGCGAATCGTTAACTTGCTCAGCGATTTGTTCTGGAGCGTTCGGTGAGTCATGGCCGGGGCGATGTAGGTCACTGGGTGCGAGAGGCGCCGCGTGCGGACTTCCTAGTTGCAAACCCGTCGTTGCATGCACGGAGGGATCCTTTTGTTTGATCCTGTGATCAACATTGACCCACGAACTGAGGGGCGGGAAGGCCGGTGGTTCGAAGATGATTTGATCTTCGTATTGATAAACGCCTCCTTCTGGGGTCGCTGACTCAATGGGATCATTATCTACGTACAGATTGAAAGTTCCAGTATTTGTCGTGGACTCGTCGTAGGGTTCAGTGTCCTGTGGGACTTTGTGCATCACAGACACGCCGGCAAACCCGCTTTCGCTCAGGACGGGAGGGACGTCTCCTGGGCGGGCGGGCATGATGGGGAAGGCATCGACGGGCGCTCGGTCGTTCAACTTCACGCCGGCGTTATTCTGGTTCAGGGTCGTCACGATGTTATGGATCTTCTGCGAGACGTGGGTGGCGTCTGGGCTCTGGACGGCGTAGTACAGGGACTCGTGGGTGCCGGGAAGAACATCCTGGTTTTCCCAGTCCCAGGTCTGGGATGTGGGATACACGTCGATGTTCAGATTGCCGTTTTCATCTTTGGTGAATCCATACTGATTGGTGAAACTATTTGATGCCTGAGTGTCTGGCTCAGCGTCTTCGTGCGGCGCATCGGAAGAAGACTCGGTCTTGGTTTCCGCGCCTGCATCTGGTGCGCTCCCTTCCGTGTCCGCGGCCTCTGCGGTGTCACTGACTTCGTCAGAATTTCTACGATAAGGCATACCCTCTTGGAGGTATATCAAAAGAGGTTTGCTGTGTCCCAGGGCACTGCTGTCCACCATGACGGTATTGCCGCCTAGCGTATATGGCACCCAGCTCGCGGAGATGGCACCGACCATCACTAAATAGACTGCAACACTCATTTTGGACAAACGCCTTGTATTTACCATTTTGACTTTTTCCAGTCTTATAGCATTACCTCTCGACTCGAGTTTAAGTAGCTTGTAGGTACTAGAAACAATCTACATCATCACCTCAGCGACGCACACACAACAGAGCTTCTGAGAGAGGAGCAGCGCCTCGCTCGCGTTGCTGCCAGGACGCGCTCCAACGAACGACTGAGCCAAGGGGCGGCGATCATGTCCACCGCCTCCCAGCCGTCGAGCCCAGCGGGCGCGCACGAACGCACTCGCTTTCTCTTGCGGTGGCAGGAAAAAGAATGCACACATGCGCTCCTTCCATGAACGAAGGCTGACCTCTGACACGAACTGACATACGTTTGTAACCCTACATTGAAACCCAAACAAGCACTTGATTGCATGTAAGGACCCTCGCTAAACACTGGCACACACATCAGCACAAGCCCACACACACATAATTATATATATACATATACACATGTATATATATGTATATATGTATATATATATATATATATATATATATATATATATATATATATATATATATATATATATAATATATATATATATATATATATATATATATATATATATATATATATATATATATATATATATGTATGTATGTGTGTATGTGTGTGTGTGTGTGTGTGTGTGTGTGTGGTGTGCGTGGTGTGTGTGTGTGTGTGTGTGTGTGTGTGTGTATTTACATATGGAAACGCACATGCACACACACATACATATATATGTGTGTGTGTGTGCGTGTGATGAATATGTGTACGTAAGTAACTACCTGTATGTGATTATGTGCTAACACGTGTTTATGTCCCGCCCTTGTTCACCCCTGCCCCAGGTGCCCCCACTTCCGCGGGGCCAGGCGGAGGGGGCGCTTGACCCGGCGCCCGACCAGCATCCCCCGTCGCGAGGGAAGCCCATACAAAACCGAGGGAAGCCCCGTCCCGCGCGGACAAAGGCGAACCGGAGTGAACGAGTGAGCGATCTCCGTCTGGCGCGCGCGGGTCCCGTTATGACTTTGCTGGCTATGATCCCACGCGGGTAGGAAGCTCTCTGCATGACCTACCTGCCGAAACCGCCTCTGCCTGCGGTCGGGGGAAGCAGTGCGCGCGGGGCGACCGCGGACCTCAAGGGAGCGCGCGGGCCGAGATGTGGAATACATTTCTGCGTGTGCGCCGGAGGGTGGCTGGCAACGTGTGTAGGATGGCAGCAGGGAGGAGGATGTGTAGGGGGAGGGGCGAGGATGGGTAAAGGCAGGGAGGAGGATGGGTAGGGGGTGGGAGAAGGATGGGTAAGGAGAGGGGCGAGGATGGGTAGGGTGAGGGAGGAGGATGGATAAGGGGAGGGAGGAGGATGGGTAGGGGGAGGGAGGAGGATGGGTAGGGGGAGGGAGGGGGAGGGGCGAGGATGGGTAAAGGCAGGGAGGAGGATGGGTAGGGGGAGGGGCGAGGATGGGTAAAGGCAGGGAGGAGGATGGGTAGGGGGTGGGAGAAGGATGGGTAAGGAGAGGGGCGAGGATGGGTAGGGTGAGGGAGGAGGATGGATAAGGGGAGGGAGGAGGATGGGTAGGGGGAGGGAGGAGGATGGGTAGGGGAGGGAGGAGGATGGGTAGGGGGAGGGAGGAGGATGGGTAGGGGAGGGAGGAGGATGGGTAAGGGGAGGGAGGGGATGGGTAGGGGGAGGGAGGAGGATGGGTAGGTGAGGGAGGAGGATGGGTAAAGGGTGAGGGAGGAGGATGGGTAGGGGGAGGGAGGAGGATGGGTAAGGGGGAGGAGGATGGGTAGGGGAGGGAGGAGGATGGGTAGGGGGAGGGAGGAGGATGGGTAAGGGAGGGAGGCAGGATGGGTAGGGGGGAAGGGAGTAGGGGGAGGGAGGAGTATGGTAGGGAGGGAGGAGGATGGGTAGGGGGAGGGAGAGGAGGGGTAGGGGGAGGGAGGAGGATGGGTAAAGGGAGGAGGAGGATGGGTAGGGGGAGGCAAGGAGGAATGGTAGGGGGAGGGAGGAGGATGGGTAAAGGGAGGGAGGAGGATGGGTAGGGGGAGGGAGGAGGATGGGTAGGGGGAGGGAGGAGGATGGGTAGGGGGAGGGAGGAGGATGGGTAGGGGGAGGGAGGAGGATGGGTAGGGGGAGGGAGGAGGATGGGTAGGGGAGGGAGGAGGATGGGTAGGGGGAGGGAGGAGGATGGGTAGGGGGAGGGAGAGGATGGGTAGGGGGAGGGAGGAGGATGGGTAGGGGGAGGGAGGAGGATGGGTAAGGGGAGGGAGGAGGATGGGTAGGGTGAGGGAGGAGGATGGGTAGGGGGAGGGAGGAGGATGGGTAGGGGAGGGAGGAGGATGGGTAGGGGAGGGAGGAGGATGGGTAGGGGGAGGGAGGAGGATGGGTAGGGGGAGGGAGGAGGATGGGTAGGGGAGGGAGGAGGATGGGTAGGGGAGGGAGGAGGATGGGTAGGGGGAGGAGGAGGAGGTATGGATGAGGGGATGGTAGGGGGAGGAGGATGGGTAGGGGGAGGGAGGAGGATGGGTAGGGGGAGGGAGGAGGATTGGGTAGGGGATGGAGGAGGATGGGTAGGGGGAGGGAGGAGGATGGGTAAGGGGAGGGAGGAGGATGGGTTAGGGGGAGGGAGGAGGATGGGTAAAGGGAGGGAGGAGGAATGGGTAGGGGGAGGGAGGAGGATGGGTAAAAGGGAGGGAGGAGGATGGGTCGGGGGAGGGAGGAGGATGGGTAAAGGGAGGGAGGAGGATGGGTAGGGGGAGGGAGGAGGATGGTAAGGGAGGGAGGAGGATGGGTAGGGGGAGGGAGGAGGATGGGTAAGGGGAGGGAGGAGGATGGGTAGGGGGAGGGAGGAGGATGGGTAGGGGGAGGGAGGAGGATGGGTAGGGGGAGGGAGGAGGATGGGTAGGGGAGGGAGGAGGATGGATAAGGGGAGGGAGGAGGATGGGTAGGGGGAGGGAGGAGGATGGGTAAAGGGAGGGAGGAGGATGGGTAGGGGGAGGGAGGAGGATGGGTAGGGGGAGGGAGGAGGATGGGTAGGGGGAGGGAGGAGGATGGATAGGGGGAGGGAGGAGGATGGGTAGGGGGAGGGAGGAGGATGGGTAGGGGGAGGGAGGAGGATGGATAAGGGGAGGGAGGAGGATGGGTAGGGGGAGGGAGGAGGATGGGTAAAGGGAGGGAGGAGGATGGGTAGGGGGAGGGAGGAGGATGGGTAGGGGGAGGGAGGAGGATGGGTAGGGGAGGGAGGAGGATTGGTAGGGGGAGGGAGGGGGATGGGTAGGGTGAGGGAGGAGGATGGGTAGGGGGAGGGAGGAGGATGGGTAAAGGGAGGGAGGAGGATGGGTAGGGGGAGGGAGGAGGATGGGTAGGGGGAGGGAGGAGGATGGGTAGGGGGAGGGAGGAGGATGGATAGGGGGAGGGAGGAGGATGGGTAGGGGGAGTGAGGAGGATGGGTAGGGGGAGGGGCGAGGATGGGTAAAGGCAGGGAGGAGGAGGGGTAGGGGGAGGGAGGAGGAGGGGTAGGGGGAGGGAGGAGGATGGGTAGGGGGAGTGAGGAGGATGGGTAGGGGGAGGGAGGAGGATGGGTAGGGGGAGGGAGGAGGATGGGTAGGGGGAGGGAGGAGGATGGGTAGGGGGAGGGAGGAGGATGAGTAAGGGAAAGAGTGAAGACACAAGAAAAAAAGGGAGAGTATGGGGAAAGGAATAAGTGAGAGGGACGGAAAAGTGGAAAATGAGAAAAAAAAGGAGAAGCGAAAGAAAAAGGAAGAGTGAAAGAATGGGGCAAAAGAAAGAACTGGGGGGGAGGGGGGAGGAGGGGGAAGAAAGGGCTTAGGGGGGGGGAACGGAAAGGGAGGGGAAGAGGGAGAGGGAGAGGGAAGGAGGGAGGGGGAGAGGGAGGGGGGGTGAAGAAACGGTTGTCAAGAGAGATTGCGGTCAACTTCAGGCGTCACCCGGGAAAGAAGTCGCTGTTCAAGACACCCTCCGCCTCCCCGTGATTACACGTTTCGAAGAATT